TGCATACATTAAATTTTTGTTTTTATAGAATTTAGTTGGTGGGAATTTGTTTACCTTTTCAATTTTATTAAATATTTATAAAAGGTATTAATTCATGATACACGAGTTGTTTAAACTGTGTCAAACTTCAAGGTTGCTAAAAAATGTCACCGTTTAGAATGGAAATTCACGTGTAACCTTCATTTTCGCTTTGTCACTTGCGTTGTTTTTTGATTTGTTATATCCTTTTATTATTGATTGGACACTTGTCTGCCATCAGATAAATTACACGGCAAGTGTTTAAATGTCCTTCGAATGGACAAGTAATGACAGAAAAGCAAACTTTTTATACGGGCGTGGCAAAAAATAAAAGGGGGTCGAAAAAGTTGTTGCACTTTTGTTTGAATTTTCTTGGCTCTTTCATGCTCCCGTGGCCGCGGAAAGTTTTTTTTCTTTTTTATTCGCGATGGCCTCTATGTGACTTTTGTGAGTGGGCCTGTGGGTAAATTTCGGTTGGAAGAGGATTACCCCGTTTTCCTTAGTCGGCAGCTGCTTTAAAACTTTTGATGCTCCTCATACATATGCTACATGTGTACTCTTAAGAGCCTCTGGGCGAACTTTCCACTGTCTAGGAAAATGGAGAAGCCAAGGAGATGGCATTGTTTGATGAGGGGGAGGGGGTGGAGGGGTGGATGTGCGGTCGAGGACACCCTGAGGGGTTAAACCTGTCTGTCAAAGTTATAATGTGTGGCTGCCTAATTTGCTGTGAAAACTGATTTGCACATAATCAAAAAGGTTGTCTCCCTCAAAGCTTAACAATTGAGGTTAAGGTTGTCACACAGACCTGTTATTAACCATCATTAAATTGTTTAATTATTCTCTCTGGTCTGCCCTGTGTTGTCATTTGTCGTGGATTTATTGTGACAGCCTAAAGTTTACAAAAGCCGCATGACTTTGCATAATATCCATTTAATTAACAATTATTATATGTGAGCACTTTCAATCAACGCTTCGAATAATTAACAGCGCATAAAGTTACCTTTCCTTTTGTTTATATATTTTGGTGCAATTCCTAAAATCAAAATTTAATTTAAAGAGTTAACTTAATGACGAAACTATTCGGGAATAGTTGAATATTATTTTAATATTTAACTGACTAGCGCAACTCATTTTCCTGTTTGGTTTTTTTAACGTAGTTTACCAATTTATTTCATTGCAACCAGCCTTCACAATTTATAAGCTAAAATGCTGCTTAGCAACATAAGCCAAAAAATAAACAACTTTGACAAGATTTAAATTTTAAATATTGACCACAGAAACTGTTTGTCATATTTTGCACAAATATTGATTTAAGCTTTTGATACTTTAACAAGCTCAATACCAGATTATCGAATTACTATTAAATGGTTCAATGAACAACTGAATGTAAAACTTGCCTATTGATTTTACTAATTACAGTTCAATTTCACAACTCCAGTTAAACGATTGCTCGACAAACGATATTCAAGATAAACACAAATACTACCAATAAATGAGCGAAAGCCAAATCCATTGATATCTGCATTATGTCTTGTTAAATTGGGTGCTTACGCTCCGAATTGCACACACATCCTCCAATGTAATTCAAATTCAATCAAATCTAAAATTCATATTTACCGATTGTTCGCATGTCGATTGCCACATTATGCGCTCCGAAATGATACTACCAGCTTTTGGCGATGACTTACACGACCTTTTTTTCCCGTCCGGCTCCGTTGAATTATGCAGTATTTATGGCAGCCAGCGATAAACTCGAAGGAAAATTAGTACAGCAATCTGTGGCCCCACATAGTTGTACTCTTTAAAGCCAGCGCGATTGACCCCTGAATATGTAATGAGGTCAAATCGAGGGGGTGCGGTCGTGGGCGGAATAAATCAGCGGTGGCCCATCGTAAATTCCGAGGACTGTGTGGCCAAAGAATCGTTGGCCAGGCGGCATATTATTAATATTTTCCATATCGCTTTTGTGCGTTTTTAATACTTTGTTTGAGTTCTTGGAAAGTGAGACTCAGAGCACAATGGCCAGCTGAGGATTGCAGCCGGCGCAAGGGCATTGAAATAAATCAAGTCGGGGACCGGAGACCGGAAACCAGAGTCCAGAGACCGAGACCGAGTATAAAAATCAGCGTCGACATGCAGGCCACATCTTTAGCGAAAGCTGCTCTCAGTTGGCATGGGCACACGGGGCGTATGAGTAACCGCTGGCGAATACGAATCCAAACCCGTGGCCAAGACCTACGGCTAGTCTCAATCAAACAAAGCGTCGTTGTGCAGCTTGCTAAAATCACCGAAGTAAGGGGGCACTGGTGATTGTCCAGGCTCGGTTGGCTAGCTGACTTTCACCATCCCCTCAACTCATAAACAAACAATGGCGCTGAGGGGCCAGCCTGGCTTAATGAGTGTAAGCCACAAAATCAACGAGTTAAATCGTGTAAAGAATGAAGCTGGATCCTGAAAACTGGATGCATTACACTACCCAAAATACATTAGGGCTTTAAGAATTTAACAAAATGTATGAAAACAACTAAAAACTATGTTCTAAATTCGTAAACATCTGTTCATGTTTAGGATATGCACTTCTAGCTCGCCCAGTTAAATAAATAAATCAAACAGTTTTGCTTTATTTGGATAAAGATTTTACATAACCCCTGAAATGTGCTGGTTCAGGTATTTAGGTCAAAAACCTGGTTGGAGTACACAAAAACAAGAACGAATTGTACTGATATAAACAAAAAATATATTTGATACAACTTAAAGTTTATAGCTATTATTAAATGGGTTCATAAATCAGCTGTCTGCAACATAACAAAATAAATTTATTTATAAATAATTTAATTTAATTTGTTAAATTGTGTTTCTTTGTTCCTGTCAAAATGTCTTGCAATTCTAAAATAAACCAGAGTCAAACAATCTCCTCTTACTATATGTGGCTTTTAGCCACAAGATGTTCTGCCAGTGCAACGCATATTCCAGTGCATTTCGTCCTGGTTCCGGGCTGCACATTTATCAAATTCTAATATGGCCAAACGAGCCACCAAACCGACCCACAACCGCCAGCTGTCGACGCTCCGGGAAATGGATGTGTGCCTTCCTGCTTACGAATGCCTCATGGCCGATGAGGCACTCTGGCGGAGTCGGGACTTTGGTCAAAACCAACAATGGGGAAAGGCAGCAAAGTATGCGGCAGAGGATCAAAAACATAGCTCCCTTTAGTTTTCAGCTCAAAGGAGAGGCGAACAATGCGGCAAAGCAAACGCAAAGGGACAAATCAATGTGGGTAAATAATTTGCGAACGAGCCTTATTCAATGGCCCTTTGATTGATTCGATAAATAAATTTTCTGGGCAAACGGCAGCAAATCGAATTCTAATTTGGCTCAAGAAGCTGCCAATATTGCAATGCAATGCAAGTACATACTTTGATGTTTAATTATGGAAAATGCTTCAACACCAAACACTCATTAAATTGTTTGGTCGAATTAAATGTCCGAGTGGCGACCGTTTAAGGCCGAGTGGTCAAAAGGGTTGACACGACCAGAAACAGAAGCCTCAGCTCGTTTGTGGTCTGTGGGTGCTGATTTACGACGACAGTCTGTCATAATGTCGCAGAGCCCTTTTGTTAATGCAGCCGAATCGAACTGAAAGTGGCATTCGACATTCGGGCCGGAAAGAAAATCAATTTGTCAATAGCAATCAAATCGTTTTTAAAGCACTAAAGCGCATTGCAAAGCTGTTAAACTTTTAATTCCATTTGGATGGCGGGACCAACAAATAAATCAAAGTCAGTCGAGGGTCGACGTCCTTTCCCTCCCCCATCACGATTTTCCTCCTCTTGGTCCCAAAAGGTCGCCAGCTGCAGCGAATGAATTAAAAGTACCGACCAACAAACAAACAATCCAGCGAATGGTCAAACAAACATACAGTGCGTATAGTAAAAGTTTTCAATTTCGCTACAGTTGTGGCCGTGATTTAAGTGCTACGCCTGCTGTGACACACCAGTTCGGAATATACGATTCCAACTCCGAATCCAACTCTCGTGCCCAATCCGCAAATAAATTCATAATATAAAAAAGGAACAAAAAAAAAGAAATGGCGGAAAAGGGCACATAAATTTCCACTGGCAGCCATAATTTGAGCAATCATTTAGACATCACGTAAATACAAATGCATTTTGTCTAAATTGTTTGCTTCAATTTCGATTTGAGTGTGCATTCAATTGAAATTAAATTCAATTGTTTTTTTATTGCCAATCCCATGCACTCTGACACTCACTCATTCTGCATTCCAGCCACCCAGCCACCCAACCACCCATCCACCCAGCCATTCAGCAATACAGTTTTTCCAGCCGGGAGTGCGATAAACAATACCCCATGCATTTTTAAAAATTGCTTGTATTTGAGATTAACGACATCCGCCGTATTTATAGGCAAAATGTTGATACGCTGCCAGGAACAACACTTGGCCAGCCACTTCTCTGAGGTCATTCTGGCCAAAAGTACGACTGCGGGGCATGCATGTTTTGGGTGTGTATCCCGGTTTCCCGGTTTCCCGATCCCGCCACCGAAATACCTTATCCCCACAGTGGGTTGCAAGGATAACCAACTGCAGGCATAAAATATGTAAACTAAAAATAACAAAATTTAAGTTGCTGAACTCTTGAAATAGAATTTTCATATAATTGGTTTCCAATGTTATTATAAGTACCAAATGGATTTTAAAGATATTAAAAGGTAAAGATTGTAATGGAACCTCTTCAGCTCTTATAAATATTGTTATTCATATTAGAATTCAAAGAACTCTAATAAATATTATTGTAATTTTTGTAGAGGTGATTCAAAGGCCAGACTTAGCACATGAAATAAAATGAAAACTTTTGGGAAGATATAACAAAATAGTTGAAGCATTTATGTTAGGCTCAAAAGCCCCAACATTTTTCCAATAGAAAACCACTGTAGCTTCGTCTGAATATTTATTTGTTTTTGTGTTTCGCAGCTGCACGGCTACGAAAAAAAAAGGAAATCGAAAAGGACTAGAAGCGAAGCAGGAAAAAGAGAACAAATCGGGGCGGAACACATTTCATAAATCTTATCCGCGATTGAGCACAGCTCCGACAGCCTTCGAATTTGTTTTCGATTTTTTTTTTTTTTTTTCGGGGCAAAGCTCCCTCGACGGTTATTTTGTGGCCGATTTGTTTTTCCCCGATTGCTGTTCGACGTGCTGGTCGCTTTTCTTGGATGTTTGCGATGTTGGCTTTTTCTTTGCAGGATTGGGCTCCGATGGCTGGCAATCCCGCAAGGAAGCGGCGGTCTTGAGCAACTTCTGGTGATTGTAGGGACCGAAACGAGTACGCGGATCGGAGCTCCGACCAAAGGATATAAAGGCCTTGGGCTGCTTGAGTGGCTTGCAGCGATCCTTTGGTGGCGGGGTCTCCACATCGGTCGTTGAGGATGGAGGTGGTGTTTTGGGCTTCTTCTTGGTAACACATTTCACTGGTGGATACCAACGCCTAATGCCATCGTAAAGCATTCGCAGGGCAAAAATAATGGCGATCACTGCGGATATCATCACCAGGATCACAAGGATTAGCCGGCAAATGCTCCACATGACCGACCTCCTTCCGCTCTCGTGCCACTCCTCCTTCCCGTGGGCTTCCACCTGGCGGGCCACCTCCTTTCGCAGCCTGTGGCAATCGTAGGCGGACATCAGACCAACGCGGGACTTAAAGGGGGCGGGAAGGTCATCCGCCCACCATTTGTCCCACAGATCCGCCTCCTCCGCGCTGGGCAGCAAATGGGCACAGTGGGCACACACCTCGTTCATCCACTCCTGGCACTCCCTGCTCTCCAGGTTCAGTCTGCAGGCTGGATTCATATTTGTTACTTGAGGGAGAACTATTTCTAAGATCTTGTATTTCTAAGCTTGCTTAAATTTTCTTTATTGCCCTTTGAATTGTTGGAAATTCCTATTTTATTCGCAATTTTATATAAAATTATTAATGGCTAAATGATTGTCATGTCCTACAATTTGTTAACAAATTTATAAACCAAATATACCCTCTCATTGATTTCATATTTATTTTATAGCTACTTAGGCTTATTTTGTAATTCATAGTGACGAAAACAATTTCCGAATTTATAATTATGGAATATTTTGTCGAATTTAAATATTTTATTTAAACAATAGCAGCGATTATCATGGAATTTTAATATATGTAACTACGAAGCATGTATAGTATCATTGAGAGCTTTGAGAATCGGACCGATTTTTTCCAACTCGCTTTATAAAACTGGCCCATTTTATACTGTATTTTCTTTTGGGCACAGGGCTTGACCTTTCAAAATTTGAGGGTGCTCTGCCATAAGTTTGTGGTGATCCTGCCTCAGCCTGACTAGTAAAAGGTTCCGGTTCATTAGCAGCCGGTAAAGAGAAGTTTCTTGAAGAAGATTCGCTAGCTTTTTGTGTTGGTAACCCTTTATTTGTTTTCATAGCTGCTCCACAATCCTGCTGACTTTCTGCGACTAGCGATGAGTGTGGCAATTCCATTAAGGAACAGTAGTTGGCCTTTAGTATACCACGGCCTCGACCTCCGTAGGACATTTCACGACAAACGCCTATTGGACAGCTGGCAAAGAGATGTGAGGGCACATCGATTTCGGGTGTAGTATTGGAGCTTTCTGTTTGTATTGCACCACTGGATGGATCTTTGTTTGATCCTGCTAGAAATTGACTATCGGAGACACTGGGTGCAGGACTATATCCTCCAGCAAGCCGTGCTTCCTTCTTCCCATCCCCTTCGGTCTGGACGAATAAGCAGCTCCTGGAGATCAGCCAGATCCAAAATCCGATCACAAAAAGCAAGAAGGTTAGCATCAGGCATAGGATCATTGGGCTGACCTCGAATTCTTCGTGAGCCTCGGATTCCAGTTCGCGTTTTAGTTGCATGCATTCCTCGGATGTGATCATTTTGTGTTTCAGATTTTCCTCATCACTCCATTTTGGCGGATGTACTCCAAGGCATTTTTCTTTAAAGTAAGACATTTTAACAAACCAATGTGTTTTTTTTCTGTTTGACATATAAAAAATCAACGACTTGACTATGAACATAAAGGTTTAAAACACAGTTTTATTAAAATCTTACTTCATTTTTAAGTTAAAAACATTTTAAATATAATAGTTTCGCAGGCTTTAAATATTTTATTTTTCAAAGCCTGTCAATTAAAAATAATAATTTTTACCGGATTTGTGTGATTTTGAATCCTCTTACTTTGAAGACGAGGTGGGTTTGGGAGGTGGCGCTGGTTTGTCGGGAAGGGGAGGTAATCTTGGATGAGGAGGAACAGGTGGAAGGTTGGGATGCGGAGGAATCGGAGGAAGTGATGGCGGTTTGGGATGACGAGGAAGCGGAGGAAGGGATGGCGGATCAGGACGTGGAGGAATAGGGATACCGGCTACCGACTTAGTAGAAGTTTCTGGCTGGGGGAGAAGTGGATAAGGATCGCTATCAGCTGTTCGATCGGCTCTTCTGCTGGACGAAGGCTGCTGATTTCCAGTCCGACCTCTTTGGCTGCCAGACGGCCGTTCGCCATCATCAGGACCTCTAGTGGTTCCAAAGGGTGGCCACTTCCAAAATCGACTCCATTTCTTGTCTTCTTCCGGTGGAGTTCCACTTATTACAACTTTTGGTGAAAACATATGTAGATAATCCAGTTGGTCATCGCGATCGTCGTCTTTTCTTCGTTTATCATCCTCATTTTGTTCATTCTCATTCTCATCATTAAATGGTTCCATTATTGCCAAGGGAATTGGAAAAATCACAGTGACATGACGTTCAGGTGCTAATGAGGAAAGAACTTGCAAATGCCTTAGCTAATTTGAAGAAAAAAGGGTAAAAATATCGATTGAAAAAGATATTTTTCAGTCATTTACTTGTAGAGTAATTTGGTTATCGGACATCACATCGGAGGATTCCTTTAAAAACTGTGATGCTTTGGCTTCCCCCTCAGCCAAAATGACTCTAGCCCTTGCTTCCCTCACAGTTTCAGCTTCGATGGCCAAAGAGCGCTCCAAACTCTTGGGTAAAGATATTTCCATGCTGCCAGAGCGATCTCTAATATTACTGATATGTTAAGGGACAATATTTGGCTTACATGTCCACTCGCTCTACTTTCACTCCCCAACGTCCTGTGATTTCGGCCACCGCTTGCTGGATTTCCTTGGATAATTGTTGCCTGGAGGTCAAAAGTTCGTTGAGTTTCATGGAACCAACAATATTTCGCAAGGTGACTTGGGAAATTCTTTCGGTGGCGTCTCTGGCATCGTCCACCTTAATGATCGAGTCGATGGGATTGTGGATGCAATAGAACACTACTGCATTCACTTTTATGGTCACCGAGTCTTTAGTAAGCATCTCCTGGGGACTCACATTAACCACATCTGTGCGAATATCCACCGTGTCATAGGAGTCGATACAGGGGAGCTGAAACACCAGGCCAGGACCAAAGGAGTTTCTAAAAGTAGAAGATTTAAAACCTAATTCATCTAGTGGAAAACTTCACCTGATGCGACCCAAGCGAAACATCACAAGTCGCTGGTATTCCATTGCCACAGTTACAATAAAGCACAGTGAAAAGGGTAAAAATATCAACACAAAAAACCAGGACAAACACACAGCTATTTTTTCTATAAAGGCACTATTACCTGTAAGAAGTTAATTAAGGAAACGGTCTTTAAAGTTCTTAAAAACTATCTTTTCATACTCTCATCTCGTGAAGGTTCCTTCTCATCATTCTTCTCGTATTGAACCACATACGGATCTCTCATTACAACTAATTTTTTGTACATCCTTAAACATTATATTCCCAATGAAGGTTATTTCAAATACCTATTGAATCAATTCTATTTCGTATCTGTCCCAACTTGAATTGACAATCCACTTAGTTGTTTGAACTTTATTCGATCCCCTAGAGTTTCATTTTTAAATTTAATATTTGCATAGTGTGCTCCGAATTGTAACTGAAAAACTTAAATTTTATTTGAAATTGCATTTTTCATGCAAGTTTCATGAATGGAAAACTTTTTTTGGCAGCACGAAAAGAAGAAATAAAAAAATTCTCGAAATGGTCAGTAAGAAACAAAAATTGGCCAAAAAAAAAAGGAATAAAATGAAAGGGAGAAAACTTTATCGCAGTGCGATGCTGACAAAAGTTCACAGAGCAAAAAGAAGGGGAAAACTTTTGTTTTCTCGCCTTCTTCGCTATTTTTTATGGAGCGACAAACAAATGGCAACTGACTGACCAGGCTTTAATACCATGAAGTGGCAAGATGGCCGAGAAGATGGCCAAGAGCGAGGGGGGTAATAACTTCGAAATGACTTTTGTTGCTTCCTAGCGGCAGTCTGGAAGTTGTGACTCTTTTTTTTATTTTTTTATTTTTACTTTTGCCCTTCCGTGACCACATGTGCCGGGCTGAAAGAAAGTTTTTCCTCTCTCTCAACAGATTCATGGCCCGAGCGCCATCATAAAGTAATTTATGCGATTTGCCCATTCTTCTGGTGACCCCAACCCGTGAACCATCACCTCCTGCCACAATTTATCTGATTGCAAGTGCAGCGACATATGGCCAAGTCCGAGAGCCAGTCCAAATCCGAGTCCCGAGTCCAACTCCAAGTCCAGCCAATTACCCTGGCGCGTCACATAGAAAATTACTCTATTATATTTCGCTCTGATGACGGATAAAGTTATTAGTCCCCATGGAGGAGGTATTGTGGCTTCTGCCATGAACTTCGAAACAAAGAGCAAATGAATGTCCTGACCCGCTCTGATAAACTAATCCATCATTGTCAGTTGTCAGGAGCGGAAATGGGGTTCCTGCATGGCAGACGGGCAAAAAGAGCTGCTCTGTGAAAACAATACGAGATTCCACCTGTTGCCGTGTGCAAGTTGGCAAATTAATGGCATTTCAATGCAGTCCCAGATACCGATGCAATTGCCTCAATCATCGCTGATTGGAGGGCGATAAGTGTGGCTTGTCAATTCAGTGTGGATGGCTTGAACGATGGATGCGAAAGTGTATTTATCCAGAGGGTTTTTATGTTAGTCGAACTCAGCTGCAAATTGAGATAAAATGTGTGGCAGACTTTTAAAGGGAGCCACTGTTGAATTGGCGGTTTTTGATTAAAGGAACTTTTGATCGTGGCCACTCGAAGTCAAAATGGTTCTGTTTTTATTGGCTTAATAAATCATTGCTTTATTGTTTAAAAAAAGCGTTAATATTTCTCTTCTGTTAAATTGCAAATAAGTATGTTCGTTTTAAAGTTCTAAAAAATTGAATACATTAAAATGATTTACCCAGTTAGTATATGATTTTTTTGTGAGCGAATTATACAACAACACCATGTGAAGCTTTAAAGATGAAATAAAGTACAAATATAAAACAGATATTTAAATAAAGTGTAAATGGTTTTTGACAATTGAGAAGACAGAAGACCGCAAGATTAAATATTGTCTTTAATTCAGTGGCCTAAAATTTTTTACAACAATTTAGGGTAAAAGAAAGGAAAATACGTCTATTTGATTTTTTATTTTTGTTACTTTCAATTGGTTTCAATTATCAGAGATCAATAACTAACTTTTAAAACCAAGAAAACGAAAAGTGTGCCGTGCAAACTTGCCTTATAAAAAACAAAAAGAAATGACTCATTCCATTTTTTACCTTATCACATTAACATCCATAGCATCAATCTAAATTTCAAGTTTTATTTTTTAGTTTTTCTTTTTCTTATCGATATCTAGGAAATAAACCAATTTTACAATGCTGGACAAGCCAGCATCGGTGGGGGCCACGTGGTTTACCAATCTGTCCGACATACAGGTGGACGCCATCCAACTGCTGGCCTTCTCGATCCGGGATGATGGAGCCGAGGGCACAGTATACCGCACCCATTTGTGTCTCAGTCGATTGGGAGTCACTCCCATGGTGAAATCGAGGATGCTTCACAAGCTGATCAACGTTTGCCGCGGCAGCGATTTGGCCTTTCTCTACTTCCTTTTGGAAGCCTGTTACAAAGGCGCCGGTTTTGCGTACAGCGAAAGGATTTTGATGTCGGCTATCACCTTTCTGGATTTGGAGATGACCATGCGGGAATTGGATCGCATTTTGCCACCCGGAGTGGAGCGACTGAAAAAAAAGTCGATTGCTCCTCCGCCGGTAACTAAATCCATATCCTTGCCGCCATCGCCAAACAGAAGGCAATCCGATTTTGGAAAAGTCCGATCGCCGTACTTCACGTCGCTGCCAAAACCAAAGGTGCCACATGTGGGCAAAAAGATCACCGCCAAAAGACCTCATTTGGTGGTCACCTTCCCCTTTTGGCCAGCTGGCGAGAGGCCCAACTACAAGGTGAATGACGAGAGCCGCTGGTTTGCCACCTACAAGTTCCAGCCGGTGAAGCGGATGCTCTTCAAAATGGTGGGCGACATTATGAGTGACTATTGGGAGAAGGTGAGCGGAACGGGTAGTTTCATTCCCGAGGATGAAACCTTCCCCCTCTGCGAGTTCCACAAGGCGGCTCTGCGCAAGGAGCAGCTGGTCAAGGATGCGGCTGTGGTCAAGGCGCATAAACAATGTCTGGCTCTCGTGGAAGTAAATTCCCGTGATGATGTAGCTCTAAAGAAGCGCATAATTGCCCAGTTGGACAAGGACATCGAGGACTGCACTCAGCGATGGAAACGCCTTCGTGACCGCCATCACACGGATGTCATGTTGATCGAGGATCACGATCAGATGTGCTCAATGGGCAAGGTGCCCACAACAAGGCAGGAAAGCAAAATCAAGCACCTTAACCTGGAGGCGGATATTGGTCGTTTGAAAACCAAACCCACTATGGGTGTACATTTAATCACCAGCAAGGCAACCGTGAGTCGTTTGAGCAGAGTGCGGGTTTCGGATCCGGAAGATGAGATTCCCTGTCCATTGGAAGAGCCGGAGGAAAAGCTGACCAAGTGTCCGCCTCAGCTTCTGGGAAATAAGAAGCGTACGCGGAGGGTGATTATGACACAAACAAAAGTAGGTGATGAGAGGCCACCTGTAACCTGCAAGAAGCCATCCTTGAAACCGGGACGCTTTTTCAAGAGTACTCGTCGGCACAGTCCCTTCGTGTTCCACTACCATGAGATACCACCAAAGGATCAGGACCCTGCTGCTCGCGATGTGATGCGCAGCCAGGCCATTCGCACCTTGAAGGAGGAAAGTTGTCCCTCCAGCGAGGATGGCTACAATGGGAGGATGCATCCGAGGGAACAGGTGGTGACCGCCATCGTTGAGTGCGCCCAAGACATGTGGTTCGGTTCCCTGGAGGCCTATCAACGAAATCAAGTTTCTCTCAAGTCCGAAAAATTGAAAAATTCCGATGAGTCGGTAAAATCCGCAACTACTCCGATTTGTGGACTCCGAGAAGACGACGGCCTCGAGTGGACAAAGCAAATCAAGCACTTCGATCCCGACAATCGGAATCTGATGGAACGGCTTTTAAAGGATGGATTTGATATTCTGCGACGGGATCCGCGATGCGTTTTTGCCGCCTTTCCCAACTCCCACAAGTCGTTCGTGATGCAAGAGTGGATCAAGCGACGATATGGAAAAACCTATAGTCACGAGGAGATCGGCAGGACGGTTCAGAAGGGCATAAACACCTTTCATCGCCTGGAGAGGATTTTATCGCATGCACCCAGTGCAAAGTACGATGGATATTCGGCAGATGACACCTACGCTGACCATAAGCGTCTAAGAGCCCTTTCCGAAAAAATCAAGGAAGACTACCGTATGCCGCTGAACGATAAGATCCTGGCCCTCACTCGAACCTGCTGGCAGGCCATGCGACCCCATTTGGTCAGAGGATCCACATTGCTGAACAGCTTTTTCGCCTATCTGCCCGTCAGATATGCAGATATGCTGTAGAATGTAGAATAGTGACCAAAGATCTGGCAAGAAAAATTCAATGTTTCCAAATTGTATGTTAGCAAATTTTTGTACCGTCCTTTTTTACCAATGTATACTTTTAAGTATGCTGATTTTTAATGTAATTGACAAAGTAATAAATGAGAAACTCATTTGAAAATGAATGAATGGTTTTAGTGGCAAACTGTTTTTTTCATCAACGTTGGTTTATATTTATTCATTAGGTTTTGGCTTTTCAATTCAAGTACCTTAAAGTAAAAGTATTTAGTTTCTGTAACGTTGCCAACTAGAGACGTACCACTCTAACCGAAAAGAAAAACTAGTCGAACTAAACATTACCAATATAAATGAGGAAATTTAATTAATGGGCGGCATACAAATAAGTGGATAGCGTGCCGTGGCAAGTCGTGGTTGGCGTGGCAAGTCCTGCTGGAACTCCTGCAAAATTCATTGAAATTACCAAGCGTGAAATGAGCAGCTGTCACAGCGACACAAAGGAGCTCCTGAACGAGGCGACTTGAGTCGAGTCCTGGTCGACATGCAAAGCCAACGACTAAAGCAAAGAGCGAAGTTCTCACGAAACCGATTCCAATACCCACACTCACCAAAGCAGATTTTTAATAAATTTACCTATCTGCATATATATAATTATTAAAGATTTTTTCGAGAGAGTAATTCAAATAAGTCAATCTTGGCATTGTATTTTCTTTTCTTTCTTTTATCTATAATAATGAATTATTAAATTTTCTGTTTACTAAAGACTTCTGTAACTGTTTTATAAGATTTTCCGAAATTATTCGAATATTATTGCAAATTCCAAAACAGAAACGGGAATGTCCTTCAGTCGCCTTGCCAAAGCGAAGAGGAGACAAAAGCATCCTGAGATCTAGACAGCAGGCGAATGGCAATTTGAAATTTCATTAAATTTGTCTCAATGCAGACACTTTTTCCCACTTTCGGTTTCGTTTTTTTCGGATCCATTGTTCAGCGCTGGCAATGAATGGTGCGAAGGCAGAAATTTGCCATGGAAATCAGCACAGATGACTTGGCAACGGTTTTGGTATTGGTATTGGTGTTGGGAGGAAATTGGGTGAATCCCCTAGTCGCCGTGTGGCCTTTAGGCCATTCGATGCTCAATGGGCGAACGCCACTTGCGGCCACCGAAAAGTTGCGAATAAATTCAATCATGTCCAAATTGTTTTGGGCCGCACTTAAAGCCATAAATTAGTGTTGCATACGACCGGAGCTGTTAATTCCCGCAATCAGGAGCCGTATTGTTGGCTCCGGCATAAATCTGGACCGGCGATAAGTCCGTGCCAGGACGAATCCCATATGTATTCCTCCAGCCGGAAATGTCCGCCGAGCGCCTTCAAGGAGCCAAAAGCAACAAGCGACTGAAAGATAAAATCCCTTTTTTTTTCTTGCGTTTCTCGTGCGGATTTGTGTGCTCACTAAAGTGCAGAAAGTACAAATGCCGTGACATCAGCGGGCTGGTGGGGTTTTCAGACATCCTGCGTTGGGAAATACGTAAATTTGCCAAGTGGGTAAAAATGTGAAAATGTGTTGGCATTAACAATGCCAAGCTGAGCTTAGATAAGACGTGGAATGTGAAGAGGATAAGGACGGACCAAGAAAAGCATTGGCACTGGCAAAGGATAAGGATGGGCAGGTGACCAGTAAGTCGTTCCGGCCAGGACATGTACTTCCATGAAGAGCACCTGGACGTGGTTGTAAAAACATTTACTTATTAAATGCGTACTTTTACTGGCAAGCACAAGGTGGTATCTGCATTCGAAGGAAAAATGTTTAAAAGGAAAGAACATTATGGAAGTATTTTCTCGTGAATTGACGACAAGTCAGCTGTGTCTTTAAATTTAATATTGTTTGTAGTGTTTCTAGTAAAGTCTAAAAACTAATACGGTTGTATGGAAAACTTAGTGGAATCGTGTATGCTACATATATTAACTTGAGGAGGATGATATTTGGTAATACTTATTTGAACGTTATATACCCTTAAAAACCAGTTGATCATTTCGAATGACGATAACTGATTTCTGCACTTTACTTTTTCTTTGTTGAAAACTCCTCAATAAAGAGTTTTCCAGCTAATTCAATTGCTTACTCTACAACTCCGTGACTATTGTTTCCTTTCGCGCACTAAACCCCAAATTCTTAGAAAGCTTTCGCTGAACATTGAGTCACACATGTTTGGCAAATGTTTAGTCCTTGTCAGCAAAATCCTGGCCTTGACTTAATTTATGCTCGGCAAAAGGTTGCTGATATGCATAAACATGTGTTGGGTGCTCAACTGGGGCGTATAAATGTCTTGCTAATGACACTCATCCACACGCACAAGAAAGGACAATTGTTATTTAAATTGCGTGTTGACTTTGCTTAAAGTCAAACATGCGCCAACGAAATTCCGGAAAAAGGGCAGAAGAGCCGGCTAACCAAGGCCGCTGCTGAATTTATGCGATACGGATGCGAAAACGAATCCGAAACTGATGTATTCACCAAAAAAAAAGGACGCACTGACAATCGAGAGGGAAAACTCAGGCAGAAAGCCACTAACGAGCACATTTAGCCTGCATTTTTTACCCGCCTACATTTTTTGCCGGCCACACTCGTGTGATCCTGTTTCGCCTGTTTTCATTCATGTCTTCCACTTCATTCATTCTTTGGTTTCCGGTGCTCCATTTCGTCCTTTCTAGTTTTTGGTTTTGGTGTTTCTGCGGTCACACACTCCAAATGAATTTTCAGTTGCATGTGACTGGGTGGAAATGTTGGTAGGAGAGGCCAGTGGCCAGGGAATATGAGGTCAAAGACCCTCTTGTACTCTTGCTGAGAGCAGTCTTAATTTGCTCTAAAGCCTGGAGTATTTTAGTTTCTCATACACTGGTCAATTCAATTTAAGTTTAAAAGACGGTTTAGCATTTACAATAAATTATATTAAAGTCATTTAGTTTTAATATTTTGTGTAAAGTATTGACAATTATTAATTGAATATTATCAATATATAACTACTAAAAAATAAATGTTTATAAATAAATTTGGGAGTCTTGAGAATAGGACATTCTTAGATTTTATAAAGATATATTTCTTTACGTTCTTAATAATTTTGATTGTGTTTTGTTTTCGGATACCAAATTGTTCTGTAGCTTTCCATATGCCGTCCATCCACTCATTTTGGCCTAGTTATAGTCATCCGCGGTTTCTGTTGGCACTAACTTCATTTGGCCCTCGTTTTCATTAGAACGTGGCCAGACTGAGGCCAATGACGAAGTGACCTGCCCTCCACCCAAAAAGCCCGCCAGGAAACCAGTCAATTTGCCAACTTATAGCGGCAGCAGCTCCCTCAAAAAACAAAAAATAAAAGCCAAATGCCAAGCTACCAGCTAATGGTGTTCTAATTATTTTGGTATTCGCGCGAAAAAATTCGCAATAAAATCGGAAATTGTTTTTTCTTAATTAGATTTTTGCAGAGCCGATTCGTTAAATCGTTTTTCATGTTAATTGGGAAATTCCCCGAAAAACGAGGGACACGCCCCCGCCCGCAATCCCAAAATCCAGAGGCCGCCCAATGCCGCAGCAAACTGTCGATGGGTATAAAATAAACCAATTTCCTATCGTCGCATTGCCGAAGGCTTCCGGCCGGGCGGATCCGGATCCGGAGTTTGACCGCAGACGCGGATGTGTGTGCGGGTGTGTGTGTGTATGGGTGTGCTGAAATTTGGCATGAAAATGAAAACGAAAACGAAAACTTTTACACACGCCCCTCCGGCGACCGCCCACCGCGACCATGCCCTATTCGCGCAACCGAAAGTTGTGTAAATGTGGGGATTTGAGTTGGAAAAGCATAAATATCGGCACCGCCAAAATGTCACGCTTCTGCACCCCGAAACTCGAAACCGAAAACGAAAATGGCAAATTGAAATAGGAACAATTTCGAGCGGTTTGTGGGCACTACTACTGCATTTGCACACCCACACATACACATACACACACACACACAAGTATTTGACGGCAGCACGTTTTAACCCAATTTCAGTGTTCGCCCAGCCACGTGGCTTTTAATTGAGCTCCCACCGTCAGTCACATCTAATTATAATTGCTCACGATGGGTGTCAGGGAATCTTTTTGGCTGGGTAAAGGTGCAGACTTGGGCCAAGGTAATATTTCAATGTTATCGTGCCAGTCATCGTCACGTTCACGCCTCCAGGTATTATCATTGGAAAAGCCTTCGCGCCAGCCAGCGTTGTTTTCCCCTTCCCGTTCACCTTCCCATTTCCCTAGCCTTTTCAGCCACTTTACCAACTTCCCCTACTTGGCAGGATTCCCCTCAAAGCGGCTCAAAGGGACCTGCCAAGAAGCCCGCCAACCGGCTTTGGTAACTAAAATTAGGAGCTCTTCGTGTTGGGTTCATTTTTCCATGTCAGATTTTGACACTTCAGACGCGGCGCGGCGTGCCTATGGTACAGTGCGTTTCGTAGCTATAGGTGTCTTAAATATTCAAAAGGTTACCAATTAGAAAAGCATGTGATAAATTTTAAATATATAGAACATTTAATGAGGTTTAGCAGATGTGTTGAAATCTAATTTTAAATTCGTCGCTATTGTGATGTGATCAGCTTATGTTATTTGTTATTTCGGTTTAAAGCTACCTCCATCCTTTTTTTTAAGCAAAACTAGCAGTGCACAATATGTATTTCCATTAGCTTCCGATCCCTCATCTCTCATTCTGACCCTTTGCTCTTGATGTCACCGATGAGTTCTCTTGAAAAAAGTGGCTTGCTTATAAGCAGAGTAATGTGCACTTTTGGGGTTTTCGTGGGTTGACAGTGAATGGGTTGCAGTTGAGCTTTCCCAGTTGGAAAAGGGAAATTTATGAGCTCTTGTGGGTTATGTGCAATTCCGCTCCCCCTTTCGATGTTTGCACGAATTCCACTCGCTTACATGGTGGCAATAAGTGAGGAAATTCATGGGAGTATTTGCAGGCGGTATCTCTTATTTCATAGTGTTTACTTTGAGGGAAACATCAAACACAGGAGTCACGTAATTTTTTTCCACTAATAAATAATTTCAAATTTGTCGTTATGAGCGATCAAAAGGAGGGAAAGGATGACAAGGGAGCTGGTCAAGAGTCAAAGAACGAGCTGAATGCACCACCGAAGGAACCACCTAAAGATCCTGAAAAGGAAACATTTCGACGTCCTTCATCCGAAGATGGTACAGGTCGCCAGCCTCCTCCCAGTCGATATATCCAAACCAGTAAGTGCTGAATAAATTATATACTATAGTTCCTAACCAATATCCTTTCCAGCTGAGGACGACAAGAGTACCAAATTCGAGAAGTGTGCCGTTTTCATCTGCTGGATACTTTTTCTGATTGGGTTTCCCTTCTCCCTGTGCTGTTGCATAACCGTGGTTCCCGAGTATGCTAGATTAATTATTTTACGCTTGGGTCGGCTGAGGTGAAGTCTTATCCTTTCTCCACAATGATAACTACTCATTTTAAGTTCAAAAATCCGTAGAAGGGGAATTCGAGGACCAGGCTTAGTGTTCTATTTCCCCTGCATCGATGATGTGCGCGCAGTGGATATGCGAACCGAAGTAACTAACGTGAGACCGCAGGATGTCCTCACAAAGGACTCGGTGACGATCACTGTGAACGCAGTTGTTTACTATTGCATCTACAGTCCCATTGACTCGATTATTCAGGTGGACGATGCCCAGCAAGCCACGCAGTTGATTTCACAGGTCACTCTAAGGAACGTCGTGGGAACAAAGACACTCAATGTCCTTCTGACTTCGAGGCAGCAACTTTCAAAGGAAATTCAACACGCGGTTGCTGAAATTACAGCCCGCTGGGGAGTGAGAGTTGAGCGAGTTGACGTGTAAGTACACTTTAAATTATTTTTTCTTTTTTTTTTAAATTATTTATATACATTTTTGATATATCACAAACTTCACCATCTATATATCATAATGAGTTCTTCAATAAAATTTGATTACATTTCCAATTGGAGCTTTTATGAGTTGATCTCATTATATTAAATACGTACAGATTGTCACTTAATTGTTGTTAACAATTAATATATTATATAAAAACAATTAAAAAATTAACACAAATTTTACCATTAGGATGGATATTATATTGCCTTCCAGCTTGGAGAGATCTTTGGCCAGCGAAGCGGAGGCTGTAAGAGAAGCACGCGCAAAATTAATTTTGGCTGAAGGAGAACTTAAAGCTTCGAAGGCTTTAAAAGAAGCCTCTGATGTGATGTCAGAGAACAAGATCACACTCCAAGTATCCACACTCTTTAATTTATTTGATGTGTGTTTAATGCACTTTACTGTTTTATAGTTGAGGCATCTGCAGGTCCTGTCTTCGATCGCCGCAGAGCGACGTGTCAGGATCATTTACCCCATTCCTCTCGAGATAATGGAGCCCTTTTTGGATAAAAGCAAGGACAAGGGAAAGGATGATGGTGGAGATGGTGGTAAGGATGGTGAAGGTAAAGATAAAGGTGATAAGAATAAAGGTGGTAAGGATAGTGACGGCAAGGATAGTGCTGGCAAGGATAGTGATGGCAAGGATAAAGGTGGTAAGGATAGTGATGGCAAGGATAGTGATGGCAAGGATAGTGATGGCAAGGATAGTAATGGCAAGGATACTGGTGACAAGGATACTGGTGGTAGCAACGAAACTCGAAAGGAAGGTGGTGAAGGTGAAGGCTTTTTGTCCCATTTCTTTTTTAATGAAAAAGTCGAACCAAAACCAAAAATTGAGGAAGACGACGAGGGTGACCCAAATGTACAAAACTCGGCAAAGACCGATAAATTATTATTAAGTGAAAATAATGAAACACGCCATTCAATTAATGCAGATTTGAGCAATCAGAGACCTACATGTAAGTGTATCTTCAATTTTGTTAATTTCACTTGAGATATATTTTGTTCGTTCTTCAGATGTCGCTGTGAATATGGATTCAATCAAACCTAAACTTTCGGGTATGTCACGAAATAATAATATTAGTAGATGTTAAGAGATCTCACATTTAAAGTAAGCGACTTTAATAACATCGTACTTATATAGAGATATAAGTCGCATAGCGTAAAATCAATTATTAAATGCAATAACTACCAACTTTAACTTTTGGCAGATACCCCTGGTGGGTATGAAACAATTATTTTTAGGTGTTTTTAGATAATAACGATAATGATGAACGGTTGAAATAAAACATCACCTGTGTGCACACAAATTTCCGCTTAAACAGCTAAACCGCCACACGAAGGTTAAAGTTCTATGATATATTAGACTTATATTGAGTCCTTAATCTTGTCCTTATTTTAGGCTCTTTTGCCACGGATGGCAGTGCCAGGGCGAGGGAAACGCCAAGAACATCGCAGCGGCCAGGCGAGTGATATAGAAATTCAAAGTGATTTGTTGTTCCACCTCCTCTAACCGTCGTGTCGTGTCCCGAATTTCAGGTCGAACCGGCGGCCTGGCGTTTATGGACCTGCAATCTTATCGGGACTTCCTGCGAACTCGTTGGTAATCAGCCGGCGGCTGGCAGTCTCCTGGCAGCAGGACAATGGGAAGGCCAAGCGTGAAATGAGCAACAGTCACGTCAACCAATAGGGCCACAAACTTGATTGAAGGGCATTATCCCAGCTCCCAGCTCCCCAGCTTCATCCAGTGGAGCGACATTGACACTGCCATTGAATGGCCTCCAAGCGTTTTTTGTGACACGATAAAAAAATAGCTGAATACTTCGTATTTTTCTCTTGCGGTGGGAATGGAACCCCGTCGACTTGCAATTTATCACCTTTAATAAATTGGAAGTTTGGCGGTCGATACTTCAATGGCGGGATAGAATATAGTAAATCTTCTTTCATAGAGCAGTTGACATTTAAAAGCAAAAGCTTTATAATAGGGAGTGGCACATCCCAGTAGCTAATTTCTCCAAATGTTAATTCTATTATTTCCTAAGTCTTTCGAGTTTCGGGCTGCCATAAATCAGCAATTGTCAAGCGCAACCAATTAACTCCCAATTACCGCCGACAGCAAAAATATACTCAAAAGTCACTCAGCAATTTTGGCTTAACATTATAAATTTGCCCAACTTTGTGCATTTATTATTTAATTTGGACAAGGCAAAAAGTTGCCACAAAGTGGGCTGGGCGTGGCAGGATGTTAATGCAGTTTCTGTGTGTGCGAGCACGAGTTCATGAGTGTGTGTGTGTGTGTGTGTGCGTGTGCACACCGTAACTTAGCAACGAAAGTTTTGAGCTAATGTGCAAGAAATGGCAAAGAAATCAAAGGAAACGTGAAGCCGACTACAGTCCCACCAACTAAAGTGTCAAAAGGGGAAATATTGCGGACTACAATTTAATTTGGAGGATGAGAAAAAAAATTAATTAAAAACAAGTTTAAAAATATGAAACGTAAATGAATAAAACATATGAGAAAAATATTCTATTTGGTCAACGTGTCGTATGAGTAATTTGATAAAACCTGAACCAAATCTGTTTGCTCAACGTGACGTGTGAGTAATTTTTTTTGCATATGTGTTCATATTTAGCACCTGATTCAAAACACTGATTGGCAACGTATTTAGTAGTGTTTGTTTGAGCTTTGACTTATTTAAAAATTGTTTAATTTTAGAAATAGTTGGGCTGTGCACCTAACACTGATAAAATAACACCAAATAAACGCAGGAAAGTATGCTATAAAAAGGGATTGCAGAAAGTTTTGGCTCGAGGACTTTGACTTTAGAGTTCCGACTGGCATTCACCTTTTAATGGCAACTCGTTTGGGCTTCTTTTGTCGGGAGTGAGTTTTTGGCACTGCTTTGTTGCTGTTTGTGTTTGCGTTTTCGTTTACGTTTTCGTGTGTTTTTTGCATTTGCGTTTTGGGGCGAGCGTGCGTAAGTTTGGCTGCGTGCTCATTGCCCTGTGCGTGTTCGAGCACACACGCTCGCAAGTGGAGGATCCACCTCCTGCCTCCTGCACTCGTCCTCCCGCCTCCTCCTTCTTTGTGTACGTGTTTATCCAGCTGGTACACCTGTGTGTGGCTGTGTGTGTGTGTGGCGGAGAACGCTTTGAGTCTTGCGACGGCAGCTGCTGCTCTTTTTCACCCACTGGAGCTGCAATGCAAATTCAAATTTGATTTATGCAAATGGCACATGCAGCAGGAGCAGCAAGTGGCGCCCGGCTCCCGGAAGCCCCTGTTTGCACTTGCCACTCTCGCCAAGTGGCCAACAGCCAAATAAGCAATCTCCCATAAGAGCTTGTGAGTTTTGTGGGCGCAGCCGACTTACAGAATCCCCATTTCCCCCCCAAATCCCCAGGCGGAGATTCTTTAATTCACGTTTAAACAAAACGCTGACGAATGCCGGCCCTGCCATTGGCTTTGATTTGTTTTTTGTGTTTTTTTTTGTCTTCGGGATTGCACTTGACATTTGCCATTTCAGCTGACCGTCTCCTATGCTTTCACTAACCAGTTAATGCACATCGAAAAAATATTTTTTTTATTTTTTGTGATAAACTTTTTATATTGAAATGAGTGAAAAACTGTTTGGATGAACTATTCAACTGTGAAACAAAAAAGGTTAATTTTCATAAAACCAACTTAAATCAACGTGGCAATTGGTTTATCCGTGTACAAACAATGGATTGATGGACTTCCGAAAAATAAACATAAGCTCAATATTTTTGTTTGTCCAATTATCACTTTCCATTTGTTTTAAGTCAATTAAAATTCTTTTTTTTTTTTTGGGCTTAATACTTAAATTCTTTGCTTGATTGTTTGATGTGTGAAATTTAATTTAGCTGTACTAATATTGGTAAACACTTATATTCAATTTTATTATGATTAAAATCACACGTTTATCATGTTTTTTCTAAATGATTTCCGTTTGAAACAAAATTTTATGTACATTTAACATTGATCTGATGGCATTTCCGGAAACTATTTAAGTGGAATCGGGAGGCAACTTTTTCGTGTGTAGCTCCACTGGCCTTGCAATCATCCGGACTTGCTCCGGTTGACATATGTGGCACTGTGACCGTATATGTTCTGCCATCTGTTAACCCGGAGAAGTGGGAAGCGGTGAGCGGTGAGGGGTGCAAAGGGATCGGGCGCAGAGGTTCAGCTGTCACTCAGATCGCTCCGCTTTGGTTTAAGCATTTCCTTTTTTGGTTTATTCCAGTGACCTCAGGGGCGGGATTTTGCTTTTTGGGGGATTTGATGGACTCGATGGTTTGGGGAATTCGTTCGTTCTCGGCTCTGGCTACTTTTTCGCTTTCATGTTTGTCATTGTCAATCTCATTTATCGACATCCGTTTAATGTCCAGCAATTTGAATGGGGCAGACCTGAGTGGTATTCAGTGCCTTACTTTATCATTCGCATTTCAGTTCAAGGTTGCCTGTGATTTTTTGGAGCTGGTCGGGGTTGTCGTACATCCGTTTAGGTATATCTACACAGCAGATTGATGACTTCTTTTTTTAGTAAGAAGAGCAGAGGCTTACAGTTAAAAGTTTGGGGTTAAACCTTTTTTTTTATTAAATGCTGGCTTAACTAATAAAAATAATCAAATCAAGGGGATGAAAAGAATACAAATTTATTTGTTAATATAATATTTTAAGTAAGCTTTAAAACATTTTATGTATTAACTGCACTTTAAATCTTTATGTTTAAAGCACCCTGCTTAGTATTTAATTGTGGTGCAACCCAAATCAAGGGACTCCACAAAGTCGCATGATTAGGAAAACTTAAGGTTCCCCAACGAAGGTGTCTGTTGGTAAACATCCATGCCTAGGCGTTAGTTCCCCACTTCTTTTAATTGGTTGTGGCAATGGGGCTCCTTAAGCCCAACCGGCAGGGATCTGAACAAAAACATTCCCAGCTAAACAAGCTGTAAGCTGCCTGGTAATTGAAGCTGCATTGTTTGGCGTATTTCCAAAGAGGACTCCAATCCTGACATTGCACATTCTCAGCCGGCAGTTGGGGTTTTCGGTTGGGAAATGGGAAATGCGAGGAACGGGGGTAAGCAATTGTGTAGGCAAACAATGGTCATGCCGGGGAGACATCCTGGCAGGCCAAAACCACTGGGGGAGTCTCAGGTGTCTGGGAAGCAGGGAAATCCAAAGGAATCTGCACCGAGTGGCAAGCGATTGCCTGGGTTTGGGTGGAATTAACAAGACATTTATGCGGGGACACACACAAAGGTGTGTCTCTGGCAATCGTATCCGCATTTTCGCATCGCTGTCTTGGCATAAATTAGCCGTCGAAGGAGAAACTGGAACACATGTCCTTCGCTTTGTCAAACGGGTAGAAAGAAATAACTTGCAAACAGTGTAGCCCCTTTGGCCAGGAGGGAAGCCCCAAATGCAAATTGTGTGTCGGCAAGTTGGCAGTCATAACTAACTCGGCGAAGACGTCGCCCGAAATTTGTTTGCCAACAACAACACGCCGGTAGTCTCGAGAAAAGGAGCTGGTCCTTAATGAGCCAGACTCTGTTGGTGGAGGGCGGATCCAGAGATTGTTATGTAATGTCGGTACAGCTGAAACTTTCCATCAAGTACCGGAGGAGTGGCTGGCTTTCATTCCGTGTCCCGCCAAATTGTCAACAGCCAGGAATTTTGCATGAATGCCAGAATAAGAAGACGGCACATCGCTGAAAGGGCTTGAGTTTGAGCTTGAGAAAGTCGCAGCTTGTCGGGCGCTTCAATTTCATTAACTAAGTGGTCCATACCAATTAAGTTTTGTGCATTTTGGAATAATATAAATTAATTAGAATATGCTAATGAGGCCTGCCTCCGTCGCCTGACATTACCGTGCACAGCCAACTCAGCGGAGTTTTCCTCGCTGCGAGTCAATTGGCTTGAATAAATTAGCGACAGTAGATGCATGCTCAATGGCGGGCCAGTTGGCTTTAAACGTCTATTGACCCGCCGCCCATTTGGCCATTGAAAAGTATCTTCCGCGCCCTGCACATATATAGCCTGCTTAAGTCGGAGCTGACTCAAGTTGGGATATAAATGTCTGGACAGTTTCAGGAGCTCGGGCCAAAGGTATTTGATTGAAATTGTTTCGATTAAATGGGCAAGATAACATTTATTAAGTTTCTGGTACTGGGGAAGTCTTTAAAAAGTATTTTTTTTTTTATCTGCAAGAAATGTTTAATTTGTTTTTAAAACATGTAAACCTTCTAAAGAAATACAGCCACAACTTTTGTTTTTGGAGGGATAAAAATCCAAGCTTGTAATCAAAAAGAAAATCATTTTTCTTTAAAGCAGTCAAATTTACGTTTATTAGGTTTTGCGTCCGTGTTAACTATAATGAATAGTTTCTTTTGCATCGTAATCTAATAAATTGTCTCAACACTTAATAATATCAATGAATTTAAAGGTCTTAAGAGCTTTGAATACAAGCAATTAATTCCTTAATTCAATATTCACTTGTGTTTGTCAAGCGTAACTATCTAACATAATTAATTTAATTTAATACTCTAGGGCAGAATAAAGCTTATTCTCAGCAATCAGTTTGTTGAGTTGTCACCATCTTAAAGCAAGACACGTGTTATGGCCCCAAAGAGTGAGGACGATCTGACTGAGAAATCCCACTCTCCTCGGCACCATCGCTTTCAATCGAATGTCTCACTAAAGATATCATTTCGTTGTCGCAATGTGAAGATAAAGTCATTCAAAGTCGAAAGCGGCAACGACTATTGCATAAATTCGGTACCGTAGAGACTTGGCCACGTCGTATTCTAATTCGATGGCAGCACACGCAGACAGAGAGGCATTCGACCTGCCCAGAAACCCAGAAACCCCCGAAACCCCTGAAAGCCCCGAAAACCCCTGAAATCTTCGGAATCGCTTTACTCTCCTCCTCCACAGAATTGTCTGCGCAACTGTCTGGAACAGTGCACTCACATTGGCCATGGACTCTGGGATTGGCAGGAAGGAAGGAAGGTGGCCAGCCATTCAGTCACTCGGATATTCAGACCAGGCCAAGCAGCAGGCGTCAATAAAGCCAAATTCACGTCTAGATGCCTTCCCTTTCCAGTTTTATGGAACCAATTTCGGGGACAGGCAGACGATTTCGTTTTGTCAGTTTTGTGAATTATCGCTTATTCAATTTTTCCACGAAGATATTGATTGGTCTGCAACACACAATTTCCCCAGAAAAAAAATGAACATTTCAAAATCAGATAAAGACAGAGCAAAGGAGAAATTCACAATTTATAAATTGTCCTGAATGGTTTTAGAAATTTCAATTGTTTGCTAACCAATTAAAATCTCTTTATTTGGCTTTTCGATTGACCTTGAATTTCTCACCGTTTTACTCATTCCATTTTCATGTCAAATTAAATTTATTAAACATTCAACGACGAACCTTCGGTTGTCATGAACCAGATTGAACCTCTTGGGCTATCAAAAACAATGGTATAAATAATTATCATAATTAAATCATTGTTTGCACATGACTGCACTTAGTCGACGGAGCAGTTTTCCACTTTCGAACTCAACCGAGCGATGGGATTGTCAACCCTTTCTTAGATTCAGACTAATCTCGCAAATTAATCAGAAATCACCTGCTTGAGGCCCCTTGAAAGTGTTGAATGGAGTTGACATCAGCTTCAATTATGGCCAGTGAATTCGTAATTATCCCTAATGGAGCAAAATTAATTTGTTATCGGGACATTACGGCAATATGGTTTCATCTTGCTCGACACAATTAAGGCCCGCAATTTAATGGCAAACATCTCTTCAGGACATTGGGCAGGCAATAAAATTGTTCATTTTCTTGAATTTAAAATGGATAAGGTTGTTGCCATGGCATCAAATTTAATGTTAGGCAAACAACAAATGGAGTCTCCAAAAATAGATTACTTTCCTTTACGTTCTTTTTTGTAGTATAAAAATAATTGCAAATGAGATGGGCTATAATTATTTATAGCACAACAAGTGAAATCTACCTTGAAAGTGTTCGACTACGAAATTCCTGCCGTTCATCATAATATTAACTGTTTGTGTGCAAAGGTGAGGTTGTGTATTAAGGTAAATTTATGCAAGAATTTCAATTAGATTGGTGATAGCATATGCAAATGTCAATTTCAATATTCAGACTGCCTTGAGTATATTAGAAGGTCCATTTCATGGTCCTTTGATGAGTGGTAAGTAAATTACTTTAATAACTAACATTCCTTCTGGTAACATGCAGTATTTAGGTGAATTTATCTGTGAAATAAAATAACAAAAGCTAACCAGGCTGCTAATCTCAATGTTTGTATAATGGTTTCCTTAAAGAAATTTCTGCATATTTGAAACAAAAAGGGCAGAAGAAAATAAGACTTAAAATTTCGATATATTTGTCCATATACAAACTGTTCTCTTACAAAGACTCAACAAAGGACCATCCAAAATACTCAGTCGTCCACAGGATCTGCATCCGCACCTGGCAGAGCGTTAGAGTCGCCGTTATAGTCTCCGTTGTGGTTACCATTGGGCTCATCCTCGTCATCCGAGAGGAGGTCGGAGAGGCTGAGGTCCGAGGACTTCTTCTCGAGGCCCTCCTCAGTGAGATCCTGAGAGGGCAGGACCACGGGAAGGGCGTACATCCTGACGCAGAGGATGACGTGTTCGCGGAAGAGCTCCTCCGAGTGCTTCATGATGGCGGCGGCTCGATGATTAAGGGGATCGTGCGGATTCGGATGGCGCAGCAGCTGCGGCAGAAAGGTGTCGAAGATGTTCACCAGGTCGTAGCTGGCCGACCAGGCCTGTTTGAAGACATTCATGCAGACCAGGCCCGTGGTGAACTCGATGTTCGGGTGCAGGATCTTGGTGACGAAACGGACGCGCGGCGCCTTCAGCGGATAGTCCAGCGGCATGGCCACGTTTACCGTCCACACGCCGCCCTCGTAGGCGGTGCCCAGTGGACCCTCGAAGCGCACATCCAGGTTGGCCATATCGTCGTCCACCGTGGTGCGGTAACCGGAGGCCATCAGCCGGTTAACATCCCGGTGCAGGCGCCGTCCAGCCATCGGCGACGTTGTGTTTGCCATCGCGATCCTGGCTCTGTGTCCTCTGGCGTCGCCGTGTGGGAACTACTGGGATTTTGAGTGCACTCGCCTGCTACACAGAGGTACCTTCAAAACTATGCAGCTAAGACCCCCGGGAAAGTGGAATTATTACCCTAAAGCCGCTGAATCGAACCGCATTGCATACTCACACATAAAATCAATCCAGAATTTTGCTGTTTTTTCATTGAAATTTTCTACAAATATAAAAACACCGCCTACAAAAGCCCTCTAATCTAGATTGCTGTTTATCACAAGGCACACTCTGTCAATGGAAGTGGATTTAAAGTTGTTTGGGATTCCCTTGAACATTCGTCTTACAAATAAAAATGTATCAGAGACTGATTTTTATTTCACTTACATGATTTTTAGTGTTTATAAGTAAAAAATAGTCATAAAACATGTAGGTATTTAATGTTTTTTTTTTGGCAAATAATTTATGTGAAAAGTAAAAAATCAAAAAAAAAAAAAATATAAACAAAGAATGCAAAAAAAAAAAAAGAAACATGAGAACAAAGAAGTAAAATAACTAAAAAAAATTATTTACATGCAGTATAAAAAGGTATTAAATTAAAGGCTATCAATATAATTTATGTAACATAAATTTGAAAGCATTAAAACACTTTTTAAGTATTACCTTATGTTAACACAATAATGCAGACATACTAATCCTATTAATAAATTAAGTGAAATTAATAAAGCAAAAAATCAAAGGTCAAATAATTAAAAAATGCATTTGCATTTATTACAAAATTATACTATTAATGAATTATAGCTTGTCAATTCTATTTATTTCGCATATATGTATATTAAAGCGTTAAATCACCATTTTAATCCTGCCTTATGTTGACATTGGACGTTTGCCAACTTTAAAAGCTTAACCCTTAAAAGTGACAATAAATAAGGTTTGTATTTCTTGGCCTAAAATTATCAACCTCACTTTGTTTTTTTTCGGACGTGTCGCATTGCGTCTAAGCGGATTTTGGCTCTTGGCCGAGCATTCATTCATTAATTGGGCGTGGGTCAGATAGTGGGGCAAAAGCTTTTGGCCGGAATGCCAACTGTGTGTAATTGGGCACCGGGGAAGACGAAGCACCCAAGGCATCGAGCAGTCCTTGTGACCAAATTCACCCACTCCAATAAGTGGCCATTCCAAGTTGAATGCATTTCTGATTGCTGGCCATAAATCAAAGATCGTCTGCTGGCGTTTCCATAAAGGAAGCTGCGATAACTTCAATGGCAGTCCGACGGAGAGTGCATTAAAGTTAAATGGACTTGGACTAAATGCTGCAAATTGCTGCCATGGCTAACAGTCATGGATACAGCCACCCGTAGCTAAGGATTGCATCTATATATCTGTATCTGTATCTGTGAGCTCGAAACAATGGTAAATAACGACTAGAAAATTGTAAAAAATGTTGACAATGTTTCTCATGGCTGGCGAATCGTTTGGCCCGAAGCTTTATTTTTAGTGCGACAGTAAATGCGTCACTCCCCGCTTTTCCACCATCAGCCTTTCCTCTACCCCCTTCCCCCTTCCCCTTTTACCCCCAAACGCCCCTTTCTTTTTCCAGTCTGCGTTTGGAATGCGCTTTGTTGCAGTTTTCACAGTTGAGTGCGCTCATTGTTTTCGCTGTCAGCGAGCGGCGCGTCGACAATGAATAATTAGAATTTTGTTGAAGGTCCATTGCTCATTTCCCCCACACCATGGATCCCCCTTTTTTTCGTTCAGTGAAACCCCTGCTATACAACCCGCCACTGTTTGCTGGGGCCAATTCATGCGACTTTTAATTTGCCGGCCATGGACAGCAAATCAAACAAAGGCGATTTAGGATTACAATGAATAAGCGCTTTGAAATTCGGCTGCAATATCTGAAATCGAGTTGGATAGCAAAGAACGAAATTGCCAATATCTGTAGCTACGTTATCGGGTAAATTTGACTAGCTGTTACTACTACATATAATAGCAGCATAACTTTTGTAGTCTATTTTACTTGACCATTGCTGTTTCCATACTTCTCTTTAACTATAAATAATATAAAATAAATGAAATTAAATACGCTTCAAAAGATCTTTTATACTTAGATTTAACAAAGAGCTGAGAACTTTGTATGAATTAAATAAAAAACACTTTATTGGCGCGGAATCTATTAAGATTTGATTCATTGACCAAATAAAATGTAATTTCCTTGTAAGCGCAATCGGAAATCTTTGCTAGTTGTCTAAAACCCTCTTTTCTCCCACCATTTTCACAAGATATTTTGTCGAATACACCCGAAAGTTTTAACATTCATTCCGAAACCGAGCAAGGATAGCGCCAAGTAGCCAGACTTCAATGTGATTTTCGAGTGCATAAATAAAATCTCAAATAGATGCCATTAAGAGCATTTTAGCCGCCATTAAAGCAATATGGAAGCCCCCGTCCAGAACCCAGTTTCAGACTATTATGCGAAGAAATACGATTATCGCGTAAAATTAACGCGAAATTAATGCAAACTACGCGCGGCAGCCCAAGGATGAGTTCCAGAATATCCTGGCAGCGAAGGAGGAGGACGAGGCGGCTTGGAGGGGTTATCTCCTTGGCTGGGACATTAGGGAGTAATCTCAACAGGGGCGTTAATTTTGCGAATTGTAATCAACTGGGAACGAGCGCGGTAATGAAGCTGTTACGGTGCCCAACCATTGACCACGTCAAAGTCAACACTTCAACAAGTGCAAAACAGCGAGAGCGAAAAATTCTTGCACTAGGCCCGAAAACAATGGCCAAGCTCAAACAGTGCTTTAGGGCCCTTTTCCTCTGGACGCCGCGGTTCGCAGCATATAAAACAATGGACCGGGCCAAAACAATGGCCAGCGACAAAAGGTAACCGCGTAAAGGATAACTCAAAAGCCACCGACGAAGAGAACCGGACTCGTCCGGGCCAGAACAGGGCAAACCGCAACCGCAGGTCTAACCCGCTGGCATTTTGGCAACATTCCACAACGCTCTCCCTTCGCCCTTCGCCCTCCTCCTTCCAATTCCCCTTCGCCTCTGCCACCCCATTGTGGCACATAGCCCCGCCCCCTTTGGGGACCTTGGCCACTGGGCGGACGTCCCCCGTGGAGGAAGTGAAATGCACACAAATTTGTGAAATTAACTTGATCATTTTTAATGAAATTTTCCCAGCAGGCGCTGGAATGAACAACAAATTTTAGCCAATAAAGAAAAAATTAAATGGGATTTTCGCTGTCATCGATTATAAAGTTGGCATTGAATAAATTAAATTTCCTTTGGTTTATGCATGCTGTTTATGCTGGATTTAGCGCCTATTTTCATTTATTTGGTTGTAGTTTACAATTTTAATATATCAAATAATATTTATCTTTAGCGAATGTTTATGTAAAAACAAAGAATTGTAAAATATTTTAGGAATAAAACTTTTAAATTCAACTAAACTGAAAGTTTTGCAGACAAATAATATCCATTCTTTAAGTAAATTTCCTTTTGATGATTTAAAAAAGAGATTTGCATACTGACTTTTTAATAAGTAAAACATATGCATTACAAACTACAGAACTCCAATAGAAAGTGGGGGACCACTGGTGCTAATAATTGTCTGAATTAACGTTAAAGTCAAACTTAAAGGGAGGGAAAAAGCGGGCAAGCTGAAAAGTGGCAGCAAAACTCAAGCAAGTGAAAAGTGAGGGGCAGGGGGAAGCAAAGTAAATTGTTGCTGTTCCCTAGTAATAAAATATTTGTCGAGCGCCATTTACAAAGTCATTTTCAAGCTCAATGTACTTTCAAAGTAATGCGCTCCACCTGCCCGCATTTAGACCCCCGCTCCTCCCCTTTTCCCCCTCCCCTGCTCCTTTTGGCCCACTTCCCCGCCTTTAGCCCACTGGCAGTTGTTCTAGTTTTTATTGCCAACGTTCGCCATTTTATGGTCTCGTTTCAGGTTGCCTGGTTTGGCTGATGCTGATGCTCTTGCCACTTTGCCTGTGCTTTTGCTTTTTCTGTGGCAGGGGAAAGGTGCGATATTTGAGGCATCAGCGCGTCGTTTGCCTTGCTAAACACGTGCTTTCATTTAAAACGCCGTAAATATGTCGCGTAAATATACGCATTTTTTGTTTGCTGACATTTGGCTGGAGCCATATGTAACCCGTATTCCATTTTTATTGAATATTTTCCGTTTCAAATAGGATTCGCGATTGCGTGGACCAAATCCCAAAGAGTTAGTATTTCTTGGCATTCCTAACAATAGAAAATGAAAATTTAAGAACATGTATGGGAGCAACTTCTAATAGTTTTGGCATGAAAAGTAAACAGATTGTATTAAAAATTATTAGACTATCTAATCATGACCAAAATAAATCATAAAATATGATTTATATTGTGCTATAGCACAACAAAATATCAAACCATTTGGTTAGCTCTTTAATTACGTATACGACCGATATGCCAGATACATATATTTGTTTAACAAATATTATAAGATTTTTCTATGTCTTAGCCTTAAAACCCATAAAATAACTTCATTAATTCCAGTTAAAACAAGTTGCAAAATTAGTTACAAAAGAAAAAATTGAGAAAAATTTAAAAGTGTTTCTGGTTGGCTCAAAAGTGACCATCTCACTGATTGAAAACCTTAATGCACATAAAAGCACCATTTAAGATTTCCCAACTGTTTTACGGAGATTAAACCATATCCCTTATTGGACATATGTCAGTAAGGAACACAAAAAGGGAAAAGTGGAAAATATTGTGGGGAGAAAGCAGATCCAACTTCATGACCAAAAGACGTGCAAAGTGCAGGCGATTATGGCTGTCATAAACCGATTAGGTCACATGAATATTTATGGGTGAACGCGACGAGAACGGAACTCAAATGCAGTTGGAAATCCAAGTGGAGCTGAGCAGAATGCAACAAGCGAAAAAATTTTCCACTTAGTGTGGCCATAATCATATTTCCATGATGTGACTAGGACTTAAATATGGTTAAATGCGTCTAAAGTGGTGCAAATATTTGTTCCACGTTTTGTGCTGTAATTTTTAGATGTATCCATGCAAATATTGGTTTGGCTGTAAACATTTTTTGTTTCTTTACCGATGTTTGTTTTTGCCTTTTATTGTTACATTCCCTGCAATGTTTTCAAGCAAACCCAACAAAAGGGAACATCAATATTCCGTTTTTCTTCGTTGCTTTTTCCGCAATATAAATAAAACATTTGCATTTAAAAGGCTTTCATCGCCCGATCAAACGGTAGCTGGCAAATAATATTTTTTCCACTAGTTTT